TTTTTATGGGAAAATAACATAATTTACCATAACTTTTGAACCGTAATTTTTACAGAAATGGGATTTGTACCATTTTGTTCAGAATTTAAAGGGCTACAACATACTAAATTTTTATCAAAATCGTTCGGGCCATTTTTGAGAAAATCCGATTTTTCCGGTTTTTTATGGGTTTTTATGGGAAAATCCCCATTAAAAATCAAAATTTCAAAAAAATGAAAAAAACGCCTGGAGATACCATGAATTAGAACCTACATACCAAATTTCATCGAAATCGGACCACAGATGTAGTCTCTAGCTCTGTACACATCCAGACACACAGACACACAGACACACAGACACACACACACACACACAGACATCACTTTGAAAACCACTTTTTTGGGTCCAGGGGGACCCAAAATGAATATATCCACTCAAAACTCAAACTCGAAAATTTTGACGAAAACAATACTTTCTCCATATACTATGGTATAGGGGGAGAAAGTAAAAAACGGTTGTAGGTAAATAAAATTAACAACACAATACAAAATAACTATAAAACTATCAAATAAAAATGTAACTTTAAAGGTGCATGACAAATAAATTATGATTAATTTAATGTGGCGTCTCACTGGTTATTTATGTCTACTTTACTATCCGTAGTATGACAATAACACATTTTCTGGTAACGGTGATAGATTTAATATTGTCTTACTCGGTTGGCTTTAGTGAATAGCAATATTTTAATTTAGTTAACGTTCATGGGTAAAAGAAAATTCAAACAAAATTGATCGAGATAAAAATTTAGGCTATAGGTAAACTAAGTTTGTTAATAATGTGGATGTAATGAATAAACACCCAATAAAGGTGAAAAAACTAACCTATATAGATTATGTAAACCCCTGGTAAGACGTTCATGATAACTTATGACAGGCTCAACTCAGTTGAAGCGGCTTTCCAACTTCCTCAGAAAGAGTGAAAAATTTCAATAAATCCAAACAATATCATGAAAATAATTATGCATTTAACAACACCAAAAATAGTACAATATGTAATAGTTTCCATTGTTCACATTAGTGCAGCAGATACCTTTTTCAGAATTTTTGTTTATTTATTGTATCAATATAAGTTTGATCACTAATTGAAGATAAACTTCTCTTAGTGGAATATTTTCTGAAAAAAATAAAAGGTTGTAATAGAATGGTGTCCAAACGTTTCAAATATTAGCCAAACATGTACATTTTTTCTTAAGTATTGTTAAATGTCTAAGTGTGATTTAAACTCTGAAATGCAAAATATTTCAGATACAGTGACTATTTTAATTGCATAAAATCATTCTAGTTGAAATCTTTTACAATAGAACTGCTTGTTTTTTATCCTACACCGGTGTAATCTTAGAGCTATTTCCTCTTTTAAAACTAGAGTTACTATTAACAAAATTTTAGAATAATCTATAAAATTAAATTAAATGAAAGTAATGACGTAATAGCATAAATAATTGACTGGTTTGATGACAATTTAACTTACCTATAATTCCCTAATATCTGGTGCATTAAATAAGTTATGTAACCAGTGTAAACCAACGAACTGGTGTAAACATCCTAAGTAACGTCTGCTTGAAAGCTTTGATTAAAAACATCAAATAGCCTAAGGATTACGGACAGCTGAGTCCGTTTTCAAACTATAAAAAAATCTACTGATTTTTCATATCAGATCATTATAAATACTCTCAAGTATAACACTATACTATAAAACGAGTAATTATACATATACAGTGCACTATCAAATCCCCTAATAGTCCTAAATGATAAGGTTGTTTTAAGTGTAGCAATGAAAATATAAAAAAGCAATGAATTTATAACTGGAGAGGACTGCGAGGGGAATATAATACTACCGAGCCACAGTTGTGTAAACATACAAGCGGTTTTGATGTCGAGATTTTATTGTTATCTTTGTGCTGCTATATTCTTAGGAAATGCATCCACAAAATTAACAAAACTATAGTGTATTAGTTTTTATTAAATGTATTTTGATTATTGTACCAAGAATAATGTATGTATAAAATTTTTTTTCATCTTAAGAAAATCAGTTATTTTTGTATTTTTTTTTTAGATTCGACATTATTTACTTTCATTTATGGACATACATACATACATACATATTTATAAATTTAACTCTTGTAATATTACTGCTGTGTTTACTGTCAAAAGCTCATTACATCTTTAGGAGTCAAGTGGACACGCCATGAAAGTAATAAGCTCTTAAAATAGGAGAGTACATTTGAGTACGTATCAAGGATAAAGTCAAAAGGAATACTAAAGTTCCATCGGACCATTGGGCAAACATTTAACGTTAACATTGTAAACATTCCGTTTTTTATCATCTCAGCAATCAAACCATAGCCGAATAGAAAAAAACTCTTACTGTTTGTTTACCCCTGTGAGAGTACTTGTTTATTTTTAAAAATATTTTCACATTCAGGTGCTTCAGGTTTTTATTGTGTTATTTGTTAAATGTAATCACATATGAATCCTTTAAATGGTTAATTTATGTCAATGTATATTATACTAGGGTGGTCCTTTGAAAAGCTACGCGTGTTAATGAGCTAGCCTAATGTAAAGACTAATTCAGCATTTTAGCCACAATAAAGCTCTTTTAAAGAGAAGTTAAGAAACAAATAACGTGAATTAATTACGACACATCTTACCAATGAGGTAGTATAGTGTGGAGGTGTAATTGACATTGTGTAATAAGATTATTTTACGGCAAAATATGGGGAACGAAGGGAAACTAGGTAAATTAAAGCCATTTGAAGTAAAAACTGTTGTATTTATTTCAAACCCAGATGTTATAGGACTAGAGAGAGACGTTGAAAAAGTAAAAACTATCCAGTGAGTGATTTACAAGCTTTGTGTAAGATTATTTAGAAGCTTTCATTACAAATTATCACTCTTACAATTTTATATTATAAATTTATCTTAAATTTATAAAATAGCACAGATTAAGATCCAACAAATTAAGAACGTGGAAATAAATCGATTGGAAGCACTGTAACAACACTACAATAATATGCTACTTTCCACAACAAAATAACTTAATAATTTATTCAAATATGATGGGAAAATAATTTGTGTAAATTCATTCAAAGAGTACATTCATTGGATTGTCTATTAACGTAACACGTTTTTCCTTTCAAACTACTGTACATGTAACAAGTATTGTTATATAAAATAACTATCCAAAACAAGGCAGTCAAAATCACATACATCTATCGACTGTTTATATAGTGTACCCAAAGAAGCCACAAACCCACACTTGTTGTTAATGTTTCATATTGTATAATATCAATCGGTCTACTTCAGCTGAGATAGGAGTGGGTGTTTACCTGAAGTTTACTAAAGCTCTTGACCAACTAAGGATCAGCGAGTAAATTAAGGACTGTGAAGGAAATGTCAAACTTGTTATAGTTTAATAATAACTTTAGCTAACAATTGCGGTCATTGTTGTTTGGAGATTCGTTGCTTTTCAACTCATAATGATTTAAGTGCTGTGTATTGCAAGTACGAAATGTATACACTGTTACACGACGTTTAAACTGATTCGGTATTAAATTAAACTCAGTTTATATATATTTAAATGTTTGCAAATCTGTGAATACCAAGCACCATATATCTGTAACTGGTAAAATGCTTTAAGTAGATTTTCCATAAACTCGTTTGATTGATGGGCTGAGTGAATAAAAGCTCTTATAACGTTTGAAAGAGGATACCAATTTAATTGAGCAATTTCCGTACGTCCAGCCACTATCAGAGAGAGTTGAGTGTGTGATTGTGACTGACTTGTTTTGGAGAGTTATTTTATTGAACGCGACTCGTTAAATGTACAGTAGTTTAAAGGGAAAAACGTTTTGCGTTATTGGACAATCCAATGAATGTACTCGTTGAACAAATTGACACAGATAATTTCACCAACAGAGTGAAATAAATGATTATTTGTTATCAACTTGTACAACAGTACTGACATTGTCGTGGAAAGTAGTATTTTGTTGTATTTTATTCCAGTATTGTTGTTAAATAACTTCCAAATAGATTTATTTCCTCGTTCGTAAGATATAAGATTATACTTTGTGCTATTTTATTAATGCAAAATAAATTAATGAACTATACTTGTAAGAGAGATAGTTACAACGTAAGTTTAACCCTTATTGTGAAAATTATCATTAAGTGATGACGTGAAATCATTAGTTCAGGTATTTTCCTTTTGACATTTTTAAAGCTTTATTTATTAAAGAAATTTGGAAAGATTTAAAGCAGTATAATATTGATGATTTAAAAATAAGCTTACTTTTTAAGATGTATTTAAAATAAAGATGCGTGTTTTATTTGTGGGTAAATTAATAATCTTTTGCCCTTCATGGGTACTTTCCTAGTTCATTAGTTGTATCAGTTGTGTAAACGGTCATTTGATTGTGAGTTTGTATTAATCAAGTAGTGAATTTGTGTTCCTTTGTTCTACTTTGTCTCACTCATAAACCTTGAGCGTGCACCAGAAAATGTCAATTTCAGCACTAGTAATAAACATTTACTTTTTAGATCGAAACATCGTATTTTACAACAGGGCGGCTTTCCCGACCTATGCATTAAAGACCAAAGGAAGTTTGTGTTTAATGAACCATTAATGTAAATTTTTGACAAACAAAGGTAATAAAAACAAACAAAAAAACAAGTTGTGTAGTGTGTAAACACGTTATCACTCGAATCGGTTCTCAATGACTGTTGAAGATTGAGTGTAAAACTCTATATTATAAACAATGCACACCACGGGCGTTCTAGACCCCAATTTCTAGCCACAGATAAGTTAGTGAAGAACGTGTTGTGATACGCAACCTTCATAACTGTGTGATGGCAGAGTGCATTCGACCGGAATGATTGCAGGAGTTGAGAGGTTAGAACACAAACAGCGATAGCCTCAGTGACATGGGCGGGCCTTGAGTTATCTAATTAGCAATTGTAATTAGTTCCTTGTAATAAACCTTCCGGCAGTCGGCCAGTATCGCCACCATGTACCCGTCACTAGCCTTTGTGTGCGTGTTGTTTGTGTGTTCAGGTGTGTGTGATTGCCGTAAACTCGAGAGAGACAATGAGATCTCGCCCAACACGGACGGTGAGTATCGAGATATTGTTTGAACGTAACTAACGCCAGAATACAAGCTTTCTCTGAGGTTTGAATACAATATAAACCACATCTAGGTTAACTTGCTGTTATCTATCTACTTATATATAATTCAGTTTTTAAAATCTGTCTAAACCTAAGAGTTCTAATGGACCGATTTTATTAATTAATGTGTAGTTGAAAAGTTAATTCGTGTATATTTGAAAGAATTATACAAGTTAGGTTTAATTAATTATATGTTGTGAAAAAGTAAAAAATAAAAGAATACATTGAAAACTGCTTTTTACTTAGTATATATTTGTAGGACATTTTAATTTCTTTCAGTATATCACATCCACTTTGGTCGATTTCCCCATCATTTAAAAGTTTTAAGCTAAGTGGCCTCCAAATTTATACTTGTTTAGAGATATTTTTGTTAAACTTTGTACAGCTAAATCTAGACTTCTACTTGACCGATTTTGTTAATTAATGGGTTGTTGGAAAGCCTAATTTATTTAAATTTTCACATTATTATGAGAGTTTAATTTTATTTAATATTTATGGTGAAAAATGAAGGATGCATTAAAAACGGGGTTTTTTAATATTCTAATTCCAAGTTTATATTTTTAACCAACTTTAGGCTGCCTTTTTTAGTGTTTTCAAGAAATACATGATAGTAATTTGTAGGAAATGTTATTCTTTTTCAGAATATCACCTTCCAATTTGGTCGATTTATTCACCATTTAAAAGCTATTTGCAAAAAAGCTAAGCAACTTTCAAATTTATATAGGTGAGGAAAATACTGAATTAGAGATATTTTTTATTAACCTTTGTACAATTAAATCTACAGTTCTACTGGACTGATTTTATTAATAAATACGCCAATGGAAAGCATCCTCCTTGTAGATTAAATTTTCAAATAATTATTAAAGTTTGATTTTGTTAAAGATGTATGGCACTATGGCAGTAGTTGGTTTACATCATATAATCATATGAAACATGTGTTAATAATTTAACAGCTGTTGTATTGTTATTTAATTGATTTTTCTTTGTTTACATGCTGTTATCATTGAGATAAGTAGATTATAACTGGAGTCACTACTCTCTGGTTAAACATTAGAGAAAAACGTGTCACTGTTTTTGCTGGTTTGTTTTCGGTGTTTCATGTTGTTAGGTTGGCCGTGTGATCGGTTGGTGGGATGCTGTCAAATTCCAATTCATTCTAACCTAACCATATACTATTTATTTGGGGTTATCCGTTATTTCAAGGACTTGTATCAAAAACTTATTTAAGTTATTCCACGTTGAACCGTGTGAATTTAAAGTTATTTTGAATCATTATAAATTGTTTTTGATAGAAAATAAATGCTAACTTATTTACCTCTTTTCAAACTATGGTTAATGGTAAAAATAGTCAAGTTTCCTGGTTTGGAGATATTGGTTAAGTCTTATGTTTAGCCCTATCCCATTTGATTAAAGAACGACCATCGGTTTATGATCTTGTTAAAATGGGTTGCTCGTAAAATAAACAAATAAACTTATATTGCAATCATAATGTTAACCTATTTTTGTTTACTATCAACAAAACGACTGGATAACGCCATCTTGATCTTGCCTCTAATTTTACAAGTCCCACCAACCGATCACACGGCCAACATAACAAAATGAAACTCTGAAACAAAACCAGCAAAAACAGTGGTACGTTTTTTAAACACAGAGTGGTTACTCCAGTTAGTATTATTATAGGTCAGTGGTTGTTATTCACAATTAGCATTTGTGGTTAAAGTGTGTTCCTTATGTTATGTGTGTGATTCTATAGTTATTTGTGCAACTAGTGAGCAAAGGGAGCAATTGACTCACTCGAGAGAAATACTTACTCACGAGCCGTAGGCGAGTGAGGAATGGTTTCTCGAGTGAGGCAATTGCAGTTTGTACTCGAGTTGCACTTTATATTTTTCCTACAGTTACCATAAAACAAATAAATTGGTAAAGAAACGTGACATATTTTTACACAGAAGTGAACTTTTAATATGACACTAGCTGTGTACCCGTTCTACGCACGGGGATCTTATAATATTCAGTTGAAACCTTCTTATATAACGAACAGCAGTTGGTTTGCATATTTTAAGATATGCTGGCCAAACTATTATACATAGCTTCATTTTATGTTGTTTTTTGTTGTTCCGGATCGGTATGACAATCAATAAAAGGTTAAATTACCTCTGTGTCTGCCGGTCGATCCTATAACGGTAGGCTTACTTTTATTTTTACTATCTGATCTCGTTTGCATGGCTCAATCACGTCCTGGTTGAAGTTCGTTCGCTACGCTCACTCACCTGTATGTTGGAGCTCGTTCGCTGCGCTCACTTTCCTTCAGGTTAGCTCGTTCGCTACGCTCACTTGCCTTCAGGTTAGCTCGTTCGCTACGCTCACTCGCCTCCAGGTTGCAAATTAGCTGTTGTCATAAATGTAAAAGAAATAATAGTGCTAGTGCTGCACCCTGTTGGTAATCCTTGTAACTTTAATGCTATTGAACATCACAGAACAGAACCAACTTGTTTAATTGAAACAGCTGTTAAGATTCAATAATTTCATTTCTCATAAGGTTAACATGGGCTTCCAGAAATTCCACGTCAAAAATCGACAAAAACTTGATTTTCAAGGGTTTACTGTTAAATATCTAACTGTCTCATATTCGATGAAATACGTCTAAAACCATCTCATATATGTATAGTATTTGGAAAATAAGTTTCAGGCGGGACAGTGCTATAGTTATTGAGGAGTAGTTGTAATAAAGTGCGTATTTTAGCGTTACCAAGAGAATGACAGATAGACAGACAGACAGACAGACAGACAGACAGACAGAAATTGAGATAAGGTTTGATTCGGTTTCTCTGACCTATGAAATGTAAAAATAACCAAAAAGTTCATTATTCTAAGCAATGTACAGACAAAACTCTAATTTTATTTATATAGATTTAATCATACAACAGTACAACAGCTGACCAGCTGATTTACAGCCAGTGCTGCCAACGTATTTCGCGCGCATACTACCTTGTCTGCATGTTACGCACTCACTATTTCGTGCCTTCACGTTGCAAATCTGGAGTGAGTGAGACAAAGTAATTAGAGTGAGACAATGTTAACATTGTCTCACTGATGAGCCAATTGGACACTTTGCTTTCTCATCGATTTTTTTACTGAACATTCAACATTCTTACAGTATTCTTACACAGAAACATTTAACTGTTGTAGTAGGCTTGTTAATAGCTATATGTTTTGTCTAAATCTGGTTGACTAAGTTAATTTTGTTCACAACTAGCTATATTAACATTTCAAAAAATGTTAAACGTAATACCATTTAAATATGGAAAACTTAAATCCTCATACGAAACTTAGAGGAGTTGCTAATATCGTCGATCTTAGCGACTGCGTTTTGCGTTTATTACGCCCCAACATGCGCTAGTCGAACATTTGTGAGCTTGCAGTTTTTCTTCCCTGTTATGATATTAAGTTTTACCTCAAGTTTACTACTCTTTGTCAGTGAATCATTCACCATATTTCTTCTTCATCTAGGGTTGTTTAATTTAATTTAGATACATTCATTGATATTACATACAGCTAATATCACAAATAAATATACACAATTGATGATTTTAATACTATCTCGGGCTACGTCAGTGAGATCAGTTGTGGCTGTGGAGGGAGGGAGTGTCGAATTACGCTGTGAACATATGGAGCAGAGAGTTACCTCCAAGAGCTTTAATTCAAGGGAAAACCATGAGGATAAATAACATTCAGGTGAAGGACTCAGGTTGATACATCTGCCAATCTTCCGAAACGAGTCCACAACTAAGGGAAGTTTAAAGTTACCGATTGACGTAACGTAAAAGTTTACCGACAAACCAATCCCAAACGTCCCTCTCATGCAGGTACAATTCTACATTTGATCAAGAAAGTTTCAATAACAAATATTTTGTAATATGGTACAGTATATTCAAAATATAAATAATGTATAACTTTGGTTGAGACAGTGAAAAAATTAATATTTGCTATCATCTCCTATGGTATGAACAGTAAGGTTTCAGCTCTAACGTTGGATATTGAAAGTAAACTTCTCTTACTACTGTAAATGTTCAGAGTATGCTTAACTCTTTGGTAATATTACCAAGGGATAGTAAGATAATCACTTTACTTACAAACATAGTTTTACATTTATCAAAAAAAAAAAAATATGTATAGTAAACACACAACTATTTAATCCACAAATACAAGACCTCATAAAGTTAAGCCAAATTATAAATTTGTCCTACTTCTAATACACCCCCTTGTGTTAAACAAAGTATTCTCTAATTCAATGGTTCTCTAAAAGAGGGAGGCTCCTAGGAAAATAGTAAATACATTTTAAAAGTAAAGATAAAAAATATAAATTTAATTTGGGATTTTAGCCATAAAAATTCAAATTGTATAATTACCTTATCAAAAATAGATGTATAAATGATTGATTACACAGAGAGATTATGTGCCTTAAATATGATACATGAGCTTAATAATATTGTGGGTGGGGGACTGGGGGGCGTGTGGAAAATTGGTTCGAGTTCTAAGTGGATCGGATTGTGGATTGAAAAAAAGTTGAGAACCCCTATTCTAATTGATATTTTATAAAAAATAAAACTTCAGTGTTTAACCTCTAAACTTATTGATAATTTGTTTCAGATGGTTGTGTGGTGGACAACGTTGTTCACATGGTAGGGCAGCAGTGGACCACGCTTGGAGAGTGTATGTTGTTCACTTGCCACCACGGAGGCGCTTATGGGGCAGTCACGTGAGTGATCACAACATTATAGAAATATCCCGCCACAGCAAACCTGCAGACTAAGCTGATTTTTATTTGTCTGATTGGTTATTTACTGAAATACTTCAATAAACAATTGATATTAGTTTCTCATTTAAATAACATAGATTTAACGAGTACTTATGTGTGTTTGCTATGGGGAAAGAAATAAACGGTACCAGCAATCTGACACATACTTTCTCCCAATAGCATGTGAACAACCTTTATCATGGGTAAGTGGTAGGGGTAATTATGCTATTTTATAAGAAAAATTTCAAAAGTTTGAATAACTTTTGAACCATAACTGGTTCAGAAATGGGGGTTGCACTATATTTTTAGATTTATAAGGACCATAACACATAATAAAGTTATTTTTCGTTTTTTATGAGAGTTTTATGGGAAAATTACATTAGTTACAATAACTTTTGAACCATAATGTTTATGTTAGTTATTTAATCTGTGGGAATATAAAATAACGAATTTGTACAGGTTTTTATTGTTAGGTTAGTTCAGAGTAGTATGACGATAAATTAATACCGTACGTCACTCGTCCAAAATGTGTTTACCGAACTCGTATGGTAGTCACGCACTCAACTTTGTCTCGCTCGTGATCACCAATTTTCCGGACTAGTAATGTAATTAGGTTACACTTGAATAGACTTAATGATTAGAGAGCTGCTATATACAAATCCGTGCTTAGCAATGGAAAGAAGACGCGGATGGTACGGATGGTAATAATTGTTGTTCTTTTGATCTTATGTATAAAATAGTTACCCTACACATCTACAGTATTATTCATTTTGGATACAAAACTTATTCTTACCACCTAGTGTAGTAATAGTATATTTCGTACCTACGGCCGAAAACGAGTTTTTCGACCATTTTTGGTCCGTGGTACGAACACTATTTTTCACCACATTACTACTATTCACAATAATAATAATGAAAACTGATAGTCAACGCAACAATAAGGTTATGTGAAGAAGTAATTTCAGGGGTCTGACGAGGGGGGAGGTACGAATGAGGCATTAGTTTAAAATTCCTCCGTGAACAGCGCTGTAGTAGAGAGTACTTTGGCAAAGAAGGTTTACTAATCGCAAAAATAGTTCTGTTCATAAAATAAATTTATAAATGCCACAAATTCAATTTTATTATTTTTTAATTATAAAATTAAACTATCATAACCTAACAGAACTAACCAAACTTGCTGATAATGAAATAATATAACAAAAGTTTATTAAAAAAAAATATAATTCTGTTTATAATGACTTAATAATAAAATTAAACTGTCATAACCGAACCAAACCAACCAAACTTGCTGATAATAAAAAAATCTTGGACAAAAAGTTAATGCCACGAGCGGGATTTGAACCCTGGACCTTTAGCATATCAGCCCGGCACGCTAACCATTAGACATCGAGGCCGATGTCTACTGGTTGTTTTGTTACGGTAATGGCGTTCCCTCAGCTAATAAGAAGCCCACAGCTGTCATCGTAGCCTCTTCTATACCTCCCCTGAGTAAATACCTAATTGCAGGGATCAGCAAAAATAATTATAAACAGTTGCTAGGCAACGGTGAAAATAAAAAATTCAAATTCAATGCTATGGATACTGTTTGTGTAATTAATATGCAAGCGGACAGCTGATTTAAAAACGGATGTAAAAACCTGCGGCCCCGGGATGTAAAAACCTGCTCGGCCCCCAAATTACGATAGCAAAACGTAACTTTCAGCCACCGATTAACGTATGTAATACAGCCAAAAAAATCATAGTGTAGTGAAAAATAATTTTCTTTACACTATTATTTATATTATTATTTAATAAAGGGGGTTAAACAAGACTACAGTATCACGTCACTCATACTAAACTCACATCTCCAATCATACTTGGCTTAAAAGACCTACATTCGTATGGTCATCATTTAAAATTAGGTATTAAAGTATATGAAGTACAGTGTATAAATAGAATTGACCAGCGGTTTAATTTAATTAAACTTTGAAGTATGTAATGCGTAGTCAATTCAAAATAGGCCAATGGGACAGAGCCCTTAGGAAATTCGTTTATACAATTAATCTTCGGCATTATAAATTGAAATATGTTAGCAGATCAATGCAGTTCAAGTCAAAATTGAAATCTGACCAAGATTGAGAGAGGATTTCATTTGATCCATACCTTAGACTTTATTTTAAAATTAATACAGTTCTAATGTATTTCTATGTTTAAACGCAAGTTGTGTTTTAGGTGCCCACAGATTCATTTCCGGGAAGACTCTGGATGCTATGAAACTGACATGGACAACACTAAGCATTACCCAGACTGCTGTCCCCAAGTTGTATGTCCAGAACAAAATCAAGCTCTTGAATGACACTAGCTACAATTAATTGTTTTTAGCTTTGACAATACAATAAAAATTATATTAGAATGTTTTATTACTATACCATGCAAATAAATCACAACATTTAATACTCTCATTGTCTATAATCTTTTGTTGTTCATTGATGCATATGCAGTGTAGATCAGTGATTAAAGTGCTCGTCTAGTAATCATAAAGTTGCCGATTAGGTCCTGAGAAAATGTGTAACTTTTGATGGTTCAATACTAGACCTTTTAATACTTTTTCGTTGAAACGGCAACCATACAAAGTAGGTATTTTAAGCGTAGTATGAATGGAGATGAGTGTAGGATGAGTGGCGCGATCTGGTAGTCTTGTTAGTGACGAAGGCTCACATATTCCTAAAACACAGCTGTTAATTAATAGCCCATACAGCTGAAGGCAACTAAGAGACCTACAGTTTATATTGGAGTCCGAACCACATTTTTGCCTTAGTATTAAATGGTATTAACAAATTTGTCCAATTATCAGGATAGTACTGCGAATAGGTGTGTGTTACTCACTAGTGCAGACGTGAATCCACACCAGGGAGTATAGCATCCACTGTGCATGCCTATAAATATCCACAATTCTTGACGTCCTAGTAGCTGGATTACAGGATGACGCCACCGTCCCAGTCAATATTTATAATAACAATATACAAGCTGTCTTTGATCATTTTAATAAATGGTACTGACTAATGAATCTGCTGGTCTTAGTCAGTAACAAAACTACACAGATCATCTTACTCAATTCTAATCTCATACCTCACTCATATTTGGGTTAAAATACGCACATAGGTGGCATTCTTATCTCAATAATGATTGATAATTGATACAAGAGGACAACGAAAAACATGACGTAGGCGCGGACCTGAGCCGCAGTTCTGTCGTCACTCCTCCCTATCTAGGAGATACAATAACACGAGGATTTTAGTAATAAGTAACTTAAGTAATATTTTTATACAAGATAAGTAAAACATTTAAATGCAATATATTAACAATTTTACTGTCGTTTACAATAATATTTATAGAAAAAAGTTAGATTTTGTGTGGTTCAAAATTAAATAATATGGTTTCCAATTGGTAATTGGAGCAGCCTTGAATATTATGGTTATTTATACATTCGCTAGAGTGAACTTAGTATCTGTCAGAACTGACAAGTGTAAACCTGGAAACAGAGTTACTCTGTAGTTCAAAAATAGTAAAAAACGCATTTTCCTTTAAGAGTGACAGAATGAACGTAACAACGGTGATCTAGATTAGATCCTGCACAGCCTCATAAAATTGTTTAAGTAAAATCCCATGTGTCCGAATGTAAAACAAATAATTTACACATATGTCTAGGAGACTCTTAAGTAAGCATCATAGATGAATCCACTACGGCACCCTTTAAGCTTGTCATGCTCTATTCACATAGCACCTGTGGTAACTAATTATGGGATTTTTTCTCGAAAAGAGATTGGTTGCTTGTTGATTTATCCAGTAGCACGATGGGATCATGAGTAACAGCAGTGAGTTTAAATTCTATCGACTATCCCAAGAGCCTAGACACTCGCGCCAAGTGGTGTTGGGATAGTCAGATGTCCATGTCGCATGTTGAAGACTTCGACCGAGGGGGCGACGCCTGCGCCCGCAGCCCTGCTTGTCACACCGACCGCAGTTGGCCTCCCTGCTCGACACGAGGTAGGAACATAACCTCTAAATCATCTAAGCAGAGTAGTTCGTTGTTTTTTCATTGCACACAATTTAATTTGATCGGTTTCCGCTCACGATTAGAGGGACGAATCAATGACGTCATTTATGGATCAATTTCCACGTTCCACAGGTTGATTATCGGCACTGTGACGTGAAGTAACTGTCGGTCTGTCATTTCCAAATTAAGTCTTGTCTAAATAGTCCAATAGAATAAATTAAGCTAGATAACCTCTCCACTTATACTCGTAGCGTTATCGGAAGTTTAATCCTCAGTAAAATAACCCTAAAAATTTGTTTTATGATATAACGCTTGATCTATGTTATAATTAATACTAGCGGTCATCCAGTGGTCGAAAACTCGACCAAAAATATGTAATGTACAGGCTTCTCTTTTTTACCCAACGCTGTAAATAAAACTTGTGATTGTAATTTCTTTCATTTGTTTTGAATTTCTGTTTATATTTTGTTTTTATATTTTGTTATTATTTCATCGCCAGCATGGCAACTCATGTTATTTTTGTATTTCAGATTCATTTTTTGTGCTTATTTTTGAGCCAGTTTTAATTTATAAAGGGTTTCTGCACATCTACAGGATAATGTCTTTCTAACAGTATGCGTAGATTTTCCCAGCGATGCACACAAGCTGAGAAAAAAGGTTTCAAAGAAACATGCCTGCCTATTAATACCGTATTTAGATTTAATAAGTATCAACTAGTCTTGTTTTGAGTATTTAAAATAGCCTTAATTGAAGTAGGTGTTGATAAATATTACCTTGAATATTACTTACTTCGTTAAAAGCATTAACATTCTGTGTTTTCTTTTAACATGGGTTAACTAACTTCCTATCTCCAACACAGGTTTCACATAACCTAAACTAAACTTAATCCTTCCTAGTAATTACTTCTCATCCTGTCCTATGGTGGTTGCCTGACAATGACTTTTCCGGATTCCACCAAAGTCAAGCTCCAATTAAAGAGTTTGTATAGACCGTGTATGTATATGAGCGTCCGTTAGCACGAAAAGTCTCGTAAAAATGATCCAATTACGATTATATTTCGGTACACACGTGTAAACCTACGTTTATGCGAACGATTTCGCGATCGGACAATGGGAACTGGGTTTTATGGGGTAAATTTTTCATTTTCGATCCTCAAACAGTAAATTTTGCAACTTTTCTTCAAACCATTTTAAAGAGCTTAAAACAAAGAATTCAGTATCTTGGATTGTGTTTGTAATGTTAAGTTACAGAGAAAATCGAAAATTAATTTACAAAATCGACCTTATTCTTTTGGAGGATAAGTAAACTTTTTACTACCTGCACCACTGTCCAAGAAGGCCCACGAGGTCTAATTGGTTTTGCGCACTGGTCCTAAGTCAAGTAGAAAAGTTTTCTCTTTTGCGCATCGATGACTGAAGGGCCCCCCGATGGCTATTATCTTTTGCGCTTTTTTCTTGGCGTCTTCCTTTTACACCCTATAAGTCTTGTAATTATAGCTCTATCGTCCGCGAAGCTTGAGTTAGGTAGCATGCAGAGTTAAATGGGTCCAACATGCTATGACTTCGTATTATTTCTTATTGAATATCACACTCACATTTTAACTACTGTAAATTTCTACGTTATCGTAGTACTCACTCATTATACGATCTCACACTTAAGTACTGTATTAAACTTGTCGTGTTCTAAGGATGTATTTTAAATATTCTATTGTTAACATACAACAATAGCGTTGTTAACAATGTTGGCGTTTTGAAACATTACACGGTATACTTTAAAATCAAAATGTTTACGGTTGCCATTGTTGATTCAGTTGTCCGCTTGAGTTTAAATTTGTGGCATCGTATTTTACTAACAAAGGTATTTAATTTGATTTGCGTATAATTCTATGGTTGCGTTAATGATTCTTTTCTTACTCCTAACCGCGTCTGTCCCCCTTATGAGGTAGCATATCACTGAATAATGGGTCAAAATGATTTTAATGTCCAGTGACTTGTGCTAAATTTGTCCGAGTTGTGTAGCTCTATATTTATTATTAAATGACAAGTTTAACTGTCCCGGGACTATTCTATCCTATTTAAGTAGTTGCAGTACAACCAGAATTACATGCCTCGTAGATTACAAAAGGATATATTTTACAAAAGACACCGCCAAAAAGAGCAAAATAGAATTGCCTGAGGGTACATCTGGGGGCCGGTTTGGGTACGATGCGCAAAAGAGGAAACTGCTCTACCTGACTTAGGCCCAGTGTACAAAACATATTCGATCATAGTAAGCTTTAGTCATCAGGCGGGCTTTAATTGCACCAACTGACCTGTGTCAGGTAGTCAGATATTCCTGAATTGCGCCAACTACTCCAGAGAGCAACCCGATACGTTCCGTAACTAAGCCAAGTGGTGGCTAAGGTTAGGTTGGGATGACATGTAAACTAGGAAATGACTTCTGCCGGCAACTTACCCCTACCTGGCTTGGGCTTGGTGCAACTAAGGAACATTTTTGGGACCCTTTTACGGCTTGGCACAATTAAGGAACTCTTTGGCGCAATTAATGAACGACCGGGGCGGCAGCTAGTTCACCCAGCTGCTGCCCCTTGTTTACCTCAACAATTTGAGCAAGGCCAGAAAACAAAAACTAATCCCCCAGGGCTCGTTACGCCATTTACCGTAGCACAGTTAAATAAACCCTTAATTTTCTATAGTTTTTCGTGCACAAAGACTTATTAAATCTACTTTTCTCTCATATATGGTATCTCTTTTACTTTATTTTCGTACTGATTTTGCTTCTTTTTATAGTGTGAACAAGACCATAAATATTATTTTTGTTAATATGAATAGGGATTATTAAAAATTCGGTAACATGTAATTGGAAGTATTGAGCCGTAACGAATATTAATTTAATTGGATCCGGACACTACGTAAAATACATTTTCAACCATATACAAGTTTAAATAAAAATGTAAAATAAATTGTAAGACATTTTTGGCAAGGAAATAAAGTTCGTTCTTAACAATCACTCCAACCACTAACATAAAAATACAAAGAGAGTTGCTAGTGAATTAAGTAAACGTATGATAACAAGGAGGGGTTAGTAGTTTATGAGACAAGAGATTTGCCGCTATTCATGTTCACAACACGACATGTCGTGTGGACGAACTTGTTTTGACATTCACATACTTGTACTATCTTCTCTGCAATCACATGATAACAACACCGAGTTAGAAACTTGCATCTACGACAAAACAAATCTTAGGAATTCAAAACTATACCTAACAAAAAACATTGTGAGAAACTGCTACGATTAAATTCATCGGCATGTGACATGTGACAGTTTTGGTAGAATGTATTTGTATATATTTGGGCCTGTGAGGTACCCTTGACCGGGCGATCGATGGCCCAGTCAGTGACAG